GTACACACGGTAAAGTTGATAACTCACTACAAACCCCACGATAACTTTTGACCCCGAGATAAAAGTTTGTTAAAAACATGCCTTGATAACTTGTGTGTAAATGATATGGTAATTTACATACAACAGAGCTGATAACTTACCTAATCCAGACATGGTAACTTTTTGACCAAGGAAAAAAATGATAAAAAATACCTCCCAATAACTCATGTGTAAACAACATGATAATACACGCACATGAGACCTGATAACTCATATACAAATATCACGGTAATTTTTTGAACGATGAAATGAAAATTGTTGAGAAACATATCCCGATAATTTTTGTGTAACATGGTAATATACACAACAAAGCTGATAACTCACCGCAAACATCATAATCACTTTTTGACCATGGGATAAAAGTTTGTTGAAAACATACCCTGAAAACTTTTGTGTAAATGACACGGTAACTTATATATGACATACGTGATAACTTACATAGTCCAGATGTGATAACTTTTGGTCCGAAAAAAATCATCAAAACATACCCACATGGGATCTAGTTTCGAAGATCGCCGAGACGATTTTTTTATGAAGACGTTTTTTCAAACAGAGCGACGGTTTGAGCCACAAAATATTTTGAAGTTTGAAAAAAGAAAGAATCTAGGATGACACCAGCTTTTCGTCCTTTAGTGCATATATGCATGTAATTAGATAGAGAAGTGCACGTCAAAGGAAAATTAGTCATTCTAATGCATGAATGTATATAATTAGAGTGAAGTAAATATCGTTCTTGCGTATTGTTAAAATCCGAACGTTTGGTAGTTATAGAAGTCTTTTTCAATTTGTCATTGGCTTGTGTCAGGTCTCCAAGCCGCTGTCAAGTGTAAGAATGGCGAGGGCGAGTACGAGAGCAAGGCCGCGGGGCATGTGGACAATTCCGGCGCCTTCAGCGTCCCCCTGAACGTGGGCCTCGTCGGCGATGACGGCGAGCTGAAGCAGGACTGCTTCGCGCAGCTCCACAGCGCGTCTGGTGCGCCGTGCCCCGGGCAAGAGCCCTCCAAGATCATCGCGGCACGGCCCGGCCGCGACGGCCAGACGACTTTCGTGGCGCTCGCCGGCGAGGTGCACCGACCGTTGGCTGAATGCGCCTCGGCGTTCTTGTGCCATCCTCTGCACAATCACCACCTGGCCGTCTTCCACAAGCCCGTGATTGTCCGTCCCAAGCCCGATCATTACCATGATCATGACCACGATCATGGCCACGATCACGATCATGATCATCACCACGACCAGGATCTCCCGCCTGCTGTCAACAAGCCGCCAACGACGCCGGTGTACACGCCGACGATGCCAACCCCCACGCCGATCTACCATCCCACGGCCCAGCGTGACGCCGTCACGGAGCCACAGCTCTTCAAGAAGATGCTCCTGTTCCTCAAGAAGCTACCGTTCTTCCCTCCTGCCAAGCAGAGCGGCAAGCCGTAGATAGTTTTGTCCGCGGCGGAGCGAGGCTGCTCGCTCTTTTGGTTGAAGCCACACACGATTTTTTCCACAAAATAATGTTTGCGAGGATGATTGTTAGTTGGGTTGAGAGCGTTCCATTTCTGGAGTAGTTCGATCTTGCTTGTTTTGTGTGTTTGTTTCACTCTCATGTATCGTGTGTAATACTATGTTGGAAATATGATTGTTATATCTCACTAGTTGACCCGTTGCGCCAAATGGCGCAGAGACCTGCTGAAGACATGTTGTCGATGAAAATAGTTTCATGCTGTAAGAACCTTTAACTAAATCATGCTATTTTTAAACATGTTTATTACGTTGTTAAATAATAGTCTGGGAAAAGGGAAACTTTGCATAATATGAATATGTTCAGTTTAAAAATATGGGCACTATGATGAGAGAGTAAAGTTGGCATGGTTGTATTTTTTTAGCAAGTTTGAAAACATGGTTATCATGATGAAAAACATGGCCATGCATATTTTTCCTGCAAAAAAGGGGAAAAGATAAGAAACCTAAGAAAAAAACATGGTTTAGTTGATTTTGTTACGCCAAATGGCGCAGAGGCCTGCTGATTCCATGCTAGCGATGAAAAGAAATCCATGGTTTAGTTGATTTTGTTATGGGCAAGCACATATGACAACAAATTTAATCTCTCTTAGTTTGGAAAAAGGGGGCTTATTGTCTACAATAGATGTATATACACATTTAAATTTGATAGCAGAGTTCTATTTGAAACAAAATCAATGTAACAAAACTAACCCCCTTTAAATGTCTGTCTATAATGAGATGTATATATACATTCTAATTTGGTAGCACAAAGTCCCATCCAAAATCATGCCGCTGAAAATACATGCATCTTTTTTAATCCATGCGCGCATTGTAAAAAACATGTTTTAGCTATGAGCATGCACATACCGTAACAAATTTAATCCCCTTTAGTAAAAACATATAGGTTTATTGTCTACAATAAGATGTACATGCACAATTTACTTTGGTAGCGTGGAGTCTCATTCAAAACAACGTCGCGTTGAAAATATATGTTTTTTTCAAGAATCTTTTGTTTGAGCAAGTATGCGGGGTAAGAATTTAGACCCTTCTATAAGAGTACATATCTTCTTACCTAAGAACATATGTATAATTATGCTATTTTAGAAAGAGTAGTGTTTCTATCAGCTTTGTTTCTGTGTGTTTGAAAAAAGAGAGTACTTATGTGCCATATTTCAAAGCAGTCGTATGACAGCCAGTTCGACCCAGCACTTATTTATCCCTTCTTCCTCGAGAGCTTTGTTCAGTCAAAGACAAAACTGCTAAGTAGTACTTCCACTAGTAGAAAAGGGGGCATCAGTCCCGGTTCGTAAGGGTCTTTAGTCCCGGTTCTTGAACTGGGACTAAAGGGTCGTTACTAATGCCTCCCCCCTTTAGTCCCCGTTCTAACACGAACCGGGACAGATGTGCCTCCACGTGGCCGGTGCGCCGAGCCCAGGCAGGAGGGCCTTTGGTCCCGGTTGGCGGC